GAATTAAGTCAAATAGATTGGCTTGGATGGATGTGAAGTTGGCAGACAATTTGCTGAAGATACCCGAATGATTACTGGGGTCGACATCTTAAAACAGTCTCTGATTGAGAAAAATACAGCAATAAATACATATTAGCCATAAAGAAATATTCAATGGACGAGGATAAGCACACTCATAGAGAGAATCATTTTCCACCCCAACTAAATAATTCGAAAGGTTAAAACCTATCCAAACATATTTCTTCCAATCAAATCACTTATAGATTATTGCATATTATATGGTATTGAAGTAATTATTGGGCTAAAACGCATATAGTGAGCAGATAAAAAATATAAATTACAGTTCATTTTCACCCTGAAAATTTGTGAATCGAGAATTCGAGTATCTTTGCTAAATTGTTTGCTATATTTTGTCATCCAAGTTCACACCACTTTGACTTGTACTTTCCACGAATTAGTAAAAATCTCACACAAACGTAATGAATTGAACAAACTTTTAAAAACGTTGATAAATATTCCCAAAATAGGTTTGTATTTAAGAAATAATGACAAATGTGTGTTGCAGACTGGTCATCTCACAAAAAACAAGAAAGTTTGAAAAAAGAATGCATTCAATTTCCAAGTGTTTGAGCACACTAATAATGTTTGTTCCTTTTGGAAACACTGTTTTGAGCAATGATGATTGTTTTTGCCAATGTCACTCAATAATATGTTTAATTTGTGAATGAATATTATTAACTTATGTGGTTTGATAGGGTTAATTGATTAAAATTTAGTTCAAACTTATCGTATAATCAATATACTGTCAAATGTTTAAATATTTGAATAATACAGTAAAAACTTTGTAAATAGTGGAACACAGATATTTTTGATGGTGACGACTAATTCATCCATTCAATATTATCTTTCTGCTTACTTGCTTCAAAATACTGCTCAGCATGCTCAAATTGACTCTACTGATTGCTGTGTTTGAGGTAAAGAAGAGGATGAAGGTTCAAATGAAACCAAACATCTTTAACATTCACAGTACAAACAGCATGAAAATTATAATTATGAAGAAAGTATAGGTAAAACAAATTAATATTGATACTGGGCCTTCCAAATGGCTAATTGACTAATCTTACTAGCAAGAAACAATTATACAGCGAACTTGTAATGTCACGTATTCCTGTTAAGGGGTGATAGATTAGGTCAAAAGCAACCGATTTTGTCCTATCCAGAAGTTAACCGTTTTTGGGTTATTTGAATTTCATTTTTTTAATTTTTTATTCCGATTTCAGCTAGCAGATGCACTAAGTCGGGCCTTAGAATTCGAATCCGCTAAAAACACAAATAAAATCCAGATCCGAGTCCGACAGATGGTACCAGGAGATAGCGAGTTCGAAGAGTCCGACAAGCGCATTGTTAACGAACTTGATAGTGAACGTCGCCGCCAGAACAGCAAGTTGGAATGTTGGAAATGTGGAAAAATACGTCACGTTAGGAGACGCTCTCCTGAAGGTGCTAGTCCTCATCCGGCCAATCCGGAATACTAAGGGAGGTCGATGTGTAGGGGCTATTGTCGATCTGTAGCCAAAAAGCCCCATCAGTTAATACCGTCCAAGTCTCCTCGCTTAAACATCAGTCTAATAGTGTTTTTGTCGATGCTTTTGTGCATCGGCGAAGATTCGACCATCCAAGTGGCGACTACGAACGGCGACGGGAGACCGAGCAAACGTGTATGGTGAAGTAAACATCGCATTTGGAATAGGAAAAGCTACATTCGAATATCCGGCGATAGTAGCTGATATTGAGGACGAGGTAATGATCGGAATGGACATCATGGACACACAGGGCTTCGAGTTGAACTTTAAGCAAGGTATCTTGAAAGTAAACAATGAGGAGGTCATTTTACATTGGGAAAGGACTGGAAACGTACGAGTTCTATTGCCTGAAGATACCGTGATCCCAGAACCAAGCGAAGTTATTTTGACTGGCTCGGTAGAGGGCCAGGGTACAGACGGAGAAATATTCATGTTCGAAATATGCCAGCTGTGGAACCTCAGGGGTCATTCCTAAGGAACTGGAAGAACTAATGTCGTCATCAGGCAGAGATCTAACGCCAGACCAAAGAATGAAACTGAAACATCTAATACATAGATATCGGGATGTAATAGATACTGTACAGAAAGGAAGAACCAATATAGTCCAGCATCAGGCAGATGGCAAGAAGGCTCCCACTTGCTAAAAGAGGACAAGATCGTAGACAGTATGGCCAACGAAGGAGTCATTGAACCGTCCAACAGTCCATGGGCCTCACCGGTAGCTTTGGTTAAAAAGAAATATGGTTCAACCAGATTTTGTGTGGACTACCGAATGTTAAACAACGTGACCAAGAAGGACAGCTACCCTCTACCGCGTATTGTTGACGCTCGGGATACCCTGGCTGGATCAAAAATGTTTTTCACCCTAGACCTAAAAAGCGGATACTGACAAGTAGAATTGGCCCCTGAAGATCGGGAGAAGACAGCATTGACGGTGGGCACCGGATTATGGCAGTTTAATGTGATGCCATTCGGCCTGTGCAATGCTCTTGCCACCGTTGAAAGGCTGATGGACACGATTCTAAGAGGACTAACCTGGAAAACGTGCCAGGGTTAACCTTGATGACATTATCATGGTGGGAAAATCATTTGGGGACCACATGAAAAATCTAGAAGAAGTTTTCTTAAGGCTACGAGGTTCTGGCTTGAAATTAAGCCCAAAGAAATGCCACCTGTTTTCAGAGAGCTGTGCAGTATCTTGGCCATGTTGTTTCCAGTCAGGTAGTCGCGGTCGACAAGGAGAAAATCCAGAATGCAAAAGAATAGCCAGCTCCGAAGGACAAACGTGAGCTACGCAGCTTCCTAGGATTGTGTACGTGTAGGGGTAACTCAAATTCCAATGGGATCAGGATTGCCGACAAGCTTTTACCCATTTGAAAGAAGCTTTAACAAGCACCCCTATACTCAGCTATCCAATGCCAGAAGGAAAGTTTGTGTTAGACACTGATGCTAGCAATGTGGGTAAACTCGTAGATGCTGTATTATCCCAAGTCAGGAAGGCAAAGAAGAGAAGGTCTTTTAGCAAAACACTGTCCAAACCAGAGCGTAACTATTGCGTTACCCGGAGGGAGTTGCTGGCCGTCGTAAAGGCAATGGAACATTTCTACAAATACCTCCTCCGGACCAAACACGCAGCTTTAAAATGACTTCTCCAGTTTAAGAATCCAGAGGGTCAAGTTGCAAGATGGATAGAGAGGCTGCAAGAGTTTGACTTCGACATCGAACATTGAGCGGGAAAAATCCATGGAAATTCAGATGCCTTATCGAGGAGACCCTGTTTAGATTATTGTAAGCATTGCAAGCGAGCAGAGGAAAAATACGCCCAAGTATTAAGAGCCACTATCGTTAGTGATACTTGGCAAAATGAAGACCTCATTAAAGATCAAGAGGGCGACCCCGATCTCCAAATAATTCTAAACTGGATGAAAGTACAACGGAAACCAGCCTGGGAAGAAGCTGCCAAGTATTCCCCTATCATAAAATCATATTGGGCACAATGGGATTCTCTTGTTATGGACGTCGGACTCTTACTACGTAAAATGGTAGACCACGATGGCAAAGAGGAAAGAAGACAAATCGTTATCTCCAGATGTCGGATCCCGGAGCTGCTAGAAGAAATCCATTCCGGTGTGTCAGGAGGTCATCTCGGAGTTACAAAAACCTTGGGAAAAGTGAGGGAAAGAGTTTACTGGGTCAATAGCAAGAAGGGCGTGAAAGACTGGTGCAGGAAATGCGTGGTGTGTGCGGCAAGTAATGGACCGCAAAGGAAACCAAAAGCTTCGATGCGCCAATACAACATGGGGAACCCCTTTGATGTGGCGGGACCCTTTCCAGAAAGTGAAGCAGGGAATAATTACATCATTGTGGTAATTAATTACTTCAGCAAGTGGGTTGAGGCATACGCTCTGCCAAATTAGGAGGCCTCTCTAAGGAACGGATCTGTCGATTTGGTGTACCTTTAGAGTTGCATTCGAACCAAGGGTGCAATTTCGAGTCAAATCTGTTCCAAAGTATCTCTCAAATCCTTGGGATTAAGAAGACCAGGACCACTGCCTTACTCCCGCAGTCAGATGGAATGGTGGAGCGCATGAATAGGACCATTAACCGGTATCTGGCTAAGGTAGTCTCTAGCCATCAAAGAGGCTGGGATAGTTTTCTTCACCTCTTCTTATTGGCTTACCGATCGTCGATTCATAAAAGCACAGGATAGACCCCGGCTATAGGCATAGTTATGGGAAGAGAACTCGTCTCCATTGCGATGTAAAGTTTGGCTGTCCACCAGGAACTGATATTGCTGGAGAAGACTACGTAAGTGAGCTGCGTAGAAGAATGGAAGCCATCCATAGCTAGGTTCGTGTTTTAACTCAAAGTGCCAGCGACCGGATGAAGGAAGCTGGTGACGTTAATGCCAAAGACCAGAGGTATGACAACGGTGATACGGTTTGGCTTTATGACCCAAAGAGGCGAAAAGGGCTGTCGCCTAAACTTCAATCATCCTGGGACGCCTCATATAAAGTTCTGGAGGCCATCTACGATGTTCTCTACAGGATTCAGAAGGCAACACGCGATAAAGCCCGAATTGTACATTTCAACCGCCTTGCACCTTATCATGGAAACAACGAAGATGCGGCGGTGCGGACATAACATGTGACCAATTTATGGCTCACCATGCTAATAGCCATAAGAGTCGGTATGGCGTGACATGTGAAGTACAGCAAGATCTGTTTACCACTTCACCAGAGAATGCCCTGGAACATTGTGTGGCTCAAGACTTGCGAATGTCGAGATGTATAGCAAAGGTTTTTCTTAGAAAGTTTGGAAAGGTGCACGTGCACAATCTAATCCGGAAGTCGGATAACTGAAGAGGGTACCAACCGAAAGATCTTCTTTTTGGTTACCAAGAAAGCTTCGTATCAGAAACCGAATTACGAAGATGTTTGGAACGCTTTGTGTTCACTTAGAGAATTCTTGCTTGCCGAGGACCTGAGAAAACTGTCAATACCTAAGCTGGCATGTGGGCAGGACAACCTGGACTGGAGAATCATTCGAAGCATGCTCGAGGTAGTCTTCCGGTAAACAGGTATTCGATTTCTGGTATGTTGTCACAGTCCTAGACGGCTACCTCCTGGAAAGAGTGTCGATTGTTACTTCTTCAAGAACTCCCACTGCAAGAAAGGGCCGTCGTGCTGATATCGACTTTCACCGCCAGTAAGATCATTCCTGGACGGAACTACTTTAGGGAGGGGGCAGTGTGACGATAAATAGTTATGTTGGCGCCATCTGTTGGGAGAGTCTCCTACTCGCCAGAGCTTCATGGTCCATCTCTGCTTTTACGCGGATCACGACCGCACAAGCCGCTTGGTGGTGTCTGTGAGGACCGTGGCAGCGACTCGCTTTCTAGATCGACGCGAAGTAACCTCGACTATTCTGGAAGGCCGCTATGTGGCTCCCGATTTGTCTCGGCTCAACGATGCGGACTATATAACACCGCGGTCGAGAGATGGAAGCAGAGTACGGAGAACGGTAGAGTTGCAGAGCAGAGTGGAGTACAGCGCAGGCAATGACGACATAAGAATTAGTCAGACATAAATGTGGTGTATATAAATGTTTTATCAAGTTAAATAAATTAGTACATTTCTTTTTGTGGAATCCAGTGTTTTAATCCACAAACAAAAGAACCCAGAAAAACGCTAAAGTATGTTTCATTGTAATTACATGATAGTCCAGTGTATATTACATCTCCAACTTTTGTATGGATGTATACTGTTATGTCAGTGATTGGGCAAATTATTAGACTTTATACATGATAAAATGTTTCTTTTTTGTTTATGTATAGGCTAATAATTTAAACTCACGCACAAGGCGTGTACCTTCTGTGAGCCCTAGAATATTAATTTGATAACATATTGTGTATTTTCATACTGTGTATAATGGCAAGTAAATATTATTATTATTATTTCTATGATTATTATTATACACCTTTCTCCGCATGATCATTGTCGATTTGTAGATCCTTTGGGCTTGAAGTACTACAGCAAGTGGCTATAACCGGCCGCGTGGTTGTGGTTAGTTGTTGCCATGAAAAATCGAGGTCGTCTAGCCATGTAATACTACAATGTGTAGGTTGGCTTTTGTTCTGGACTTCATGTGTCATTTTCCCCTCTATCGTCGTTTCCTCAGGTTACACCCGTATCCCTGATGTATGTGCATCTGTATCTACTTTTGTAACTGTATATGTGCATTCATTTCGGGACGGATGAAGCCAACAAGCAAAAATACGTATTGCTCTGGTTCCCTATCCTATTTTCTGCTCGAATCCACTTTTTCTTTTTGCGGATTTCATCCATTATTTTTCTATTTGTTATATACCTTTCTTCGCATGATCAATTTCTCTTTGTAGATTCTTTAGGCTTGAAGTACCACAGCAAGTCGCTATAACCGGCCGCGTGGTTGTGATTAGTTGTCGCCTTGAAAAATCGAGATCTTCTAGCCATTTTATACTACAATGTGTAGGTTGGCTCTTGTTGTGGAGATCGTGTGTTAATTTTTTTCCTCTCCACCTTTGTTTCCTCAGGTTACACCCGTATCCGGATGTATGTGCATGTGTGTCTATTTTTGTAGTTGCATATGTCTATTAATTTCGGGCTTGATGAAGCCAACAAGCAGAAATACCTATCACTCGGGATACCTATCCTATTTTCTGCTCGAATCCGCTTTTCTTCTTTTTGCGGATTTTGCCCATTGTTTTTCTATTTGTAATACGCCTTTCTCCGCACGATCCTTTTCTCTTTCTCTCTCTCTCTCTATACATATATATCATCAATCCCGAAATGAATGGATATATGCAACTATAAAAGTAGATACACATGCCCATACGTCCGGATACTGGCGTAACCTGAGGAAATGAAGATGGAGAGAAAAAAAATAAAAGAAAATGATACACGAAGTCACCAACAAGAGCCAACCTACACATTGTAGTTCAAATTGGCTAAAAGACCTCAAATTTTCAGCGACATCAAACCACAACCGCGTGGCCGGTTATAGCCACTTGCTCTGGTACTTCAAGCCTAAAGGATCTACAAAGAGAAAGGGTTACCTGTCCTATTTTCTGCTCGAATCCGCTTTACTTTTTTTTGCGGATTTTGCCCATTATTTTCCGATTTTTTGTCCCTTTCTCCGCATGATCATTTTCTCTTTGTAGATCCTTTGGACTTGAAGCATCACAGAAAGTCGCTATAACCGGCCGCGTGGTTGTGGTTAGTTATCGCCTTGAAAAATCGAGGTCTCCTAGCCATTTTATACTACAATGTGTAGGTTGTGGACTTCATGTGTAATTTTTTTCCTCTCTATTTTCGTTTCCTGAGGTTACACCCGTATCCCTGATGTATGGGAATGTGTATCTACTTTTGTAGTTGCATATGTGCATTCATTTTGAGCCTGATGAAGCCAACAAGCAGAAATACGTATTGCTCGGGTTACCCATCCTATTTTTTGCTCGAATCCACTTTCCCTTTTTTGCGGACTTTATATATATATATATTTGTAATTTTGAGAAATTTCGAAAAAAAAAACAGGATGATGAACTTTCAAACGAAATTACAACTAAACCATTAGGTTTAGGGCTGTGATTTTATTTTGAGATGAGCTAAATGGTTGGTTTTAGCAGTTATTATGTCACTTTTTAACAGAGCTAATTAGAAATAAACGCAAAAAATCTTAAATTATTTTTTTTTGTAAAAAATCTCTTCCATCCCTTAACTTCAGTGAAAAAATTGAGGTTGTATTTTATTATTCATTTTATTGTAAAAACATTTTCAATCCATGTAGCATGGACCCTGAAAATTTCAGCTTCCTACGATAAGTGCCTCACCTTAAAAAATCTGTATGTTTGGCGCATACATGTAAGCAAGAAATTCTATTTTACGAGCTACAGTCCAAACGACTGGTTGGATTTTGACATATGAGGTACTGTTAGATTCGTCCTGTCAGTACGAGTGATACTGTGTGTATTAAGCCCAATCACCTCAATGAACTTGGGTATCCAACTCGGCATTCCAGGTGCGGGCGCGTTCAATCTTCGGTCCAACCGAAATTACTATTATGGTGCTGCCCTAGGAAATGCTCGAGCAGCTGCTCGCATGTATGGCATCCTAGGCACTAATCGTCAGCAAGAAGCGCCGAGGATACGCCCAGAAGAAATAGAAGTTATGGTAGAAGCAGCCGAGAGAGATCCCTCTATAAGCACCAGAGCCATTGCCCGAAGCAGAAACATATCCCATACTTCAGTGCACACAATACTACGCTCGGAAAACATGCATCCTTACCATGTACAAAAAGTACAAGAATTGCTCCCAAGCGACTAAGCACAACGGGTTGAATTTCGTGAGAATATGTTGAGAAGGTGCGAAGGGGTTGAAACTTTTTTCGACAGCATCTTATGGACAGATGAATCCAACTTTAATCAAAATCGAATATTCAACATGCACAATTTCGATTCGTGGAGCGTGAAAAATCTACACGCTATTCGCCGACACAGCTTTCAACGTCAGTTCGGTGTTAATTTATGGGCTGGAGTACTCAACAAAAAAAAAAATAATTGGACCATATGAATTTCCCGCCAGGTTGAATGGTCAGTCATATCTTGCTTTTCTACAAAGCAGTTTGCATGAGCTGCTAGAGGATGTACCTTTGAATGTTCAAAGTCGCATGCATTTTCAATGCGATGGTGCCCCATGCCACTTTGCACGGGATGTACGGCATTACTTAGACAGCGCCTTTCCTCGGCGTTGGATAGGTAGAGGTGGACACATACGATGACTTCCAAGGTCACCCGATTTAAATCCTCTAGATTTTTTATATGTGGGTTTTATAAGGGGATAATCTATACATCTGAATATACAAATAACAACCAACTGCGCCAGAAAATTGATGAAGCAAAAATAAAAATTATGGAAAACGCAAATTTATTTCAAAGACAATTTTATTAGGTGTCGTTTGTGTATAGAAAATAATGGAGGCTATTTCGAACATGTTCTTCAAAAGTTAGTTAAATTAAATTATCTTCCACACTTGTCGATAAATCGCCATAAAGAGCGGCTAAACACAATAGGTTCTGTACTTAGGTGGTAAGGATTCTATTGCGTTTTTTACGTTTATAGCATCTCAACGACGAATGTGACATGACATACTCATCGTAGCAAGCTGATATTTTCAGGGTTTATTCTATATGGATTGAAATAGTTTTCACAATGAAATGAATAATGAAATACAACCGCAAACTTTTTTTTACCGCCCTCCAAAGTTGAGGGATGGAAGAGATTTTTCACAAAAAAATGAATTCAAGATTGTTTGCGTTGATTTCTAATAAGCTCTGTTGAAAGGTGACATAACCATTGCTAAAACTAACCATTTAGCTCATCTCAGAAAAAAATCACAGCCCTAAGCCTAATGGTTTAGTTGTAATTGGGATTGAAAGTTCATTATCCCGTTTTTTCGAAATTTCACAAAAATTGCAAATATCTGATGAGCTATAACATTTCGGACCACACATATAGGTGTTCATTCGATGTGTTTTGAGTCCCTCTATCACCTTCCACTACAAACTTTAGACCCTGTATATATAGGAAGTGGAGCTTCTTGTTGGTGTGGACTTTGTAGTATTTGAAAATATCCTACTTTGTTTAAAGTGCTGTCGAATTCATTTATACATGTAAATGCGGGTGAATGCAATATTATTTTATTAATAGAAATAAAAGTACAATTTTTGTACACATGATCAAGTGGCCTTATTCACTTTCAGGTAACCCTTTCCATACTTTCTTAATATAAAACAAAGAACTGCTTCTAGTGAATGGTGACATATTATAACCTGCTTCTGGACACATAGACAAATAGTTGGCAAAACTTGATCTTATATATAATAAGTTCACATCCAATGAAAATAGAATCGAATTTTGGTATAACATTCGGAAGTCTTTATTTTGATTTGAAAACATCCACTATCAATACGAGTATCAAATTCTCCAGTTTATTTGATATCAAAGATTTGTGAGTGCACAGTTATAAATTCCGAATATTATACAAATTATCTTTTAAATCTAAATAAAATAATTCATTAAAACTAGTCACTTTTACTTTAAATTAATTAAACAAATTTTATATACATATATATAAAACAGGACAGATTTAAAATGTCAATCTGTACTGTTTTCTTTGCTAGCATCACAATTGTGTTTTCAGAATCCTGATGAAGGCTCCATAGAGAATGCCGAAAGCTTGATTTTATCGTCAAAAGAGTCAACTTAAGCCTAAAAGTTTTGCCAATTTCCCAATTAACAAGTAATTGTATTTTGTATATATATATATATATATATATATATATATATATATATATATATATATATATATAGTTTTACTTGGAGCAGGTAAACTCATGTTAATAGTTCATTCATTTGACATAAATTGGTGTAATCAATCTAAGTAAATGGTTTAATAAATTCAAATAAATGATTTTATTTTGCTTTGATTAATCTAGTTTCATAGATTCAAGTAAACTGTTTTAAAAATTAGAGTTTAGCCAAGCTTATTAAACTTGTTAGCTGTCACATAAATCAAATTCAAGCGAATAACCAAAATTTCTGTGTTATTTACCGCGGTTATAACGTGGTTTAAGATGACACACGGGTTGATGACGTCAGTTGCTCGAATCGCTTGAACGCATTGGTTTTAACCGCGGTTTTGTTGCAAGTTGTTTATTTTAGAAAAGAGAGTATAATGTTTGATTATTTTTATTAATAATCGGTGCTTTTTCGTCTAAAACAGTGATGTGATGGAAAGTTTAAAAAAGAAAACTTCCATAATATTAATGGGAAAATGTTTTCTAATCTCTCTTATTTTTAATCAAGTTTGTCTTGAAAATAAAAGATATGACGCCCAAAATGTAAATGCCGGAAACATGGTTTTGCAGCTATGATGACTTTCAATTATTTAAACTTTTCCGCATGTCAGAGAAAACATTTATTGATTTAGCAAAATTAATAAGAAAAAGCGAGGAAAAAAGATATTAGCAAAATCGTATACAGGTGGACAGTATTATATTATATATCCATATTTTAATGTTCTTGTGGTATCTATAGTGCTACACAGTCTTTGCTAAGCATAGGAACTAAATTTAGTGTCGCCAACAACAGTAATGAGTATAACTAATAACGTGCTCTACTTTATGCTAAAACTGAAGTCAGCCTGTATCAAGTTTCCCAATAATGCAGCTAAAAAACAACAAAAATATCCAATACCCGCCAAAATTCTAACTTGTCACATGCCAAATAATAACCAGAAATATAGAACCACTCCGGAGTGGGTAAATACCACAATTTTACGGTGATAACTATGACATATAACAGCTGATTAATGACGACACGGATCTTATAACCAAACTGATAACCACACTCGCTTGAACGGATAGATAAATACCAATCCAAAATGGTAAATACCATTTTCACTTGGTTATTCGCTTGAATTTGATTATAGTTTATTACATTTTTTCATTGGCCAATTTAAGATTTCAATTGGTTCATTAATGTTTTCCCCAGAGTTACCTACCTGATAGATGTGCACAGGCACTGGAACTGGAACCTGGAGCATTTATCTTATCACAACAATTTCCTGAGACATTTTAACAGAAAACGATGCTTCAAAAATAGACGATTCGAGTTTTTGAGGCTGGCAAACTCAAAAGAACGATATTAATATATTTGTACAGCTTTCGTCTCTACCTTCTACTCTTAACCGCAAGATGGGAAATCTTGAAGACGGGACTGAAATTTCTTCGAATATAAAGATTCCCTCAACGGTATTGGGCATATGCGCCTCTATCCAGACTAACTACACCTATGTGTATCACAAGCTGGTGATCCGCAGTTGGTATCCAGTGGCGTTGTTAATATCGTTGACAGAACATGATGTTTGAAACATAACATTTCATTTGATTACAAGCTCCAAGTGTGAGTATGGGCTGCGTTATGAACCTTACCCTAGGTCCATAAGGTAGGCGCATATTTCCAGTTCATCTGCAATCAGTGCCGACTACCTAAGCCTCTCGTTGATTCCTTTGAACCGCCTTAAAAGATCGTGGTTAATCATCGACTATCTGAGCTTTCTTCCATAGTTTTCATTGTGTTCATGTTAGCGAATGGTTTAGGAAGCCTGCCTCCACCGTATTCGGCAGATGTGTTAATACAACAAATTCTTTTTACAGGTCTTCCTCGGACGTTGTCTGATTTATTTATTTATTTATTTATTTAAGTCTCCCTTGAGGAACGTTTAAGGGAGATTTAAATATTCATTTCACGGTAGGCTGTAGCAGTTGCCATCGCAAGCTGTCATCGATGTCAGTACGGTTTTTATTTTCTAGCCATATCTATTTAACATTTCGTTGATAAAGTTGGGGCGATTTGGTTTATTTGTTCTATATGTGTCTATAAAAAATGCGAAATAATAATGTGACTGCTTCCTCGAATTACAGTGCACTCATGAGAACTTAAAAACTGAATATAGGCTACCGGTGCGTCCAATTGCTCTACTACTATATATATATATATATATAGTTTTACTTGGAGCAGGTAAACTCATGTTAATAGTTCATTCATTTGACATGAATTGGTGTAATCAATCTAAGTAAATGGTTTAATAAATTCAAATAAATGATTTTATTTTGCTTTGATTAATCTAGTTTCATAGATTCAAGTAAACTGTTTTAAAAATTAGAGTTTAGCCAAGCTTATTAAACTTGTTAGCTGTCACATAAATCAAATTCAAGCGAATAACCAAAATTTCTGTGTTATTTACCGCGGTTATAACGTGGTTTAAGATGACACACGGGTTGATGACGTCAGTTGCTCGAATCGCTTGAACGCATTGGTTTTAACCGCGGTTTTGTTGCAAGTTGTTTATTTTAGAAAAGAGAGTATAATGTTTGATTATTTTTATTAATAATCGGTGCTTTTTCGTCTAAAACAGTGATGTGATGGAAAGTTTAAAAAAGAAAACTTCCATAATATTAATGGGAAAATGTTTTCTAATCTCTCTTATTTTTAATCAAGTTTGTCTTGAAAATAAAAGATATGACGCCCAAAATGTAAATGCCGGAAACATGGTTTTGCAGCTATGATGACTTTCAATTATTTAAACTTTTCCGCATGTCAGAGAAAACATTTATTGATTTAGCAAAATTAATAAGAAAAAGCGAGGAAAAAAGATATTAGCAAAATCGTATACAGGTGGACAGTATTATATTATATATCCATATTTTAATGTTCTTGTGGTATCTATAGTGCTACACAGTCTTTGCTAAGCATAGGAACTAAATTTAGTGTCGCCAACAACAGTAATGAGTATAACTAATAACGTGCTCTACTTTATGCTAAAACTGAAGTCAGCCTGTATCAAGTTTCCCAATAATGCAGCTAAAAAACAACAAAAATATCCAATACCCGCCAAAATTCTAACTTGTCACATGCCAAATAATAACCAGAAATATAGAACCACTCCGGAGTGGGTAAATACCACAATTTTACGGTGATAACTATGACATATAACAGCTGATTAATGACGACACGGATCTTATAACCAAACTGATAACCACACTCGCTTGAACGGATAGATAAATACCAATCCAAAATGGTAAATACCATTTTCACTTGGTTATTCGCTTGAATTTGATTATAGTTTATTACATTTTTTCATTGGCCAATTTAAGATTTCAATTGGTTCATTAATGTTTTCCCCAGAGTTACCTACCTGATAGATGTGCACAGGCACTGGAACTGGAACCTGGAGCATTTATCTTATCACAACAATTTCCTGAGACATTTTAACAGAAAACGATGCTTCAAAAATAGACGATTCGAGTTTTTGAGGCTGGCAAACTCAAAAGAACGATATTAATATATTTGTACAGCTTTCGTCTCTACCTTCTACTCTTAACCGCAAGATGGGAAATCTTGAAGACGGGACTGAAATTTCTTCGAATATAAAGATTCCCTCAACGGTATTGGGCATATGCGCCTCTATCCAGACTAACTACACCTATGTGTATCACAAGCTGGTGATCCGCAGTTGGTATCCAGTGGCGTCGTTAATATCGTTGACAGAACATGATGTTTGAAACATAACATTTCATTTGATTACAAGCTCCAAGTGTGAGTATGGGCTGCGTTATGAACCTTACCCTAGGTCCATAAGGTAGGCGCATATTTCCAGTTCATCTGCAATCAGTGCCGACTACCTAAGCCTCTCGTTGATTCCTTTGAACCGCCTTAAAAGATCGTGGTTAATCATCGACTATCTGAGCTTTCTTCCATAGTTTTCATTGTGTTCATGTTAGCGAATGGTTTAGGAAGCCTGCCTCCACCGTATTCGGCAGATGTGTTAATACAACAAATTCTTTTTACAGGTCTTCCTCGGACGTTGTCTGATTTATTTATTTATTTATTTATTTAAGTCTCCCTTGAGGAACGTTTAAGGGAGATTTAAATATTCATTTCACGGTAGGCTGTAGCAGTTGCCATCGCAAGCTGTCATCGATGTCAGTACGGTTTTTATTTTCTAGCCATATCTATTTAACATTTCGTTGATAAAGTTGGGGCGATTTGGTTTATTTGTTCTATATGTGTCTATAAAAAATGCGAAATAATAATGTGACTGCTTCCTCGAATTACAGTGCACTCATGAGAACTTAAAAACTGAATATAGGCTACCGGTGCGTCCAATTGCTCTACTACTGGTTGTCGACAACGTCTGTCAAATTCAGTAAGTACTCGTTCAAATTCAAATATTTTGTAATCTTCGAAATTTTACCGAACTGTGGACGACAGGGTTATTATATAATTTGGAAAGTAAGATTATGTTGGTAAGACGTCGACTTGGAACTAGCTGTCGTTCACTTTTTGCTCACTTGTAGCAAGTACGGAACGAACTATTTGCTCACTAGCCTACTTAGTCAACAAGTTCACATTTTATCGGTGTTTTTGACATTGTATAGGCTTACAGGGTAACACGAGGGATGTCTTTTAAGTTTTGCATACAGAAACATAGTAGGCCGCGCGGATCGAACGTCAGTACTGAATCTTAACCTCACTCTTTAGTAAACTTAAATTCAAAGTTTCACAACAATACGTGAAGTGTTCGCACTACAGTGAGTTTTGAAGTGTCACCAAGTCATTAGAAAAATGGAACTCAACCGAGAACATTTTCGCGCCATAATTTATAAGAATGCCTGGCTGAGTTACTGACTGTTTTCGGCAACGAAGCACCACATCAGTCGACAATTTCCCGTTGGTATGGATAATTTAAACGTAGACGGGTGAGTCTTAGCGACGATCCCAGGGTGGGTGCACCAGAAACGGCAGTCACCCAGGAAAACGACGATGCTATGCGCAAACTCATCATTGGAGATAGACATGTGACATATCGCCAGATTGAGGCGTTCTTGAAGATCTCAAAGACCTCAATTCAAAAAATTGTACATGAAGAATTAGGAGTATGAAAATTAGTTACTCGTTGGATACCCCACCTGTTGACTGAAGAGCAGAAAGCAGCCAGGGTTAATTGGTGTCAAAAAACGCTTGACCGTTTCAATTCCGGAAACTCAAAAAATGTGTACAGCATTGTTAGTGGTGATGAATTATGGATTTGCTGTTATGAACCAGGAGATAAACGACAGTCGGCTGTTTGGGTGTTCCAAGGTGAAGAAAAGCCAACAAAAGTCATCCGTTCTCGAAGTGTTTTGAAAAAGATGGTCGCGACATGTGTGTCAAAAGCGGGTCATATTGCAACAATTTCTCTTAATGAGCAAAGAGCTGTTAATGCGGATTGGTATACCACCATTTGTTTGCCAAAAGTCATCACCGAGCTTCGAAAAATCAACCCCGAAAGAAGAATCATCCTCCACCAAGACAATGCAAGCTAGCACACAGCCCAAAAAACAAGGCAGTATTTAACAGAAGAAAACGTGGAATTATTGGACCATCCTCCATATAGTCCCGATCCAAGTCCTAAGATTTCTTTACTTTCCCGAAAATTAAAAACAGACTGCGTGGTCAAAGGTTCCAATCACCAGAAGAAGCAGTTGACGCATTCAAAAATGTCGTTTTCTATCTGCTAGTAAACTAGTGGAATAAGTGCTTCGAAAATTAGTTCGAGCGCATGCAGATGTGTATTAATCTTCGTGGAGAATAATTCGAAAAACAATAAAGTCATTTAAAACTACCTACCGTGTTGTTTTATTTCCATATACAAAACTTAAAAGACATCAGATTTAGATTCAGATTCATTTATTGATCCAGTTAGATCTACATTCTGGACATTGGATAAGTCGGTGTATACAGATTAAAGTATAGATAAAAGGAAGTAAAACACAAATAACAATAAGAACATAAAAAACCATATGATACACACATGGCAATAAATTATTTGTTAAGATCTATCAGAAGCACTGTGGAATGTGACAAATTCACCTAGGTCATAAAAACCGCAGTCCGATAGCTTGTTCCGCAAACGTCTTTTGAAAAGCCCTACGGAGTTTACGTTTTTGATCTCCGGAGGTAATAAATTAAAAAAGTAAATTCCTGCTGTTATGGGAGAGTTTGAATGAAACGTATGATATGACACATGCCTAACTATATTATTTTTATTACGAGTGCTGTATTCATGGATGTCAGTATGCTTAAGCTAATCATTTCTGTGCTGAAAAATATATGTTAAAAGATTATAAATATATATAAATGCTACTGTAAGTATTTTGTGTTTAACAAATATCTCACGACAGGAAGATCTGGACCGTATTTTAAATATAATGCGAATGATTCTTTTTTGTAAGACAAACACTCTAGAGATTTCAATAGCCTGGCCCCACGCAGTAATGCCATATGAAATGACAGAGTGTACACATGCATAGTTGACATCCATTAATGCTGAGGTGTTTAACATCCTCCCTAGCGTAAGTATTAAATACAGACTTTTTCCAAGTTTCTTACATACGAAATCAATTTGCTCTGTCCATCTTAAATTGCAATCAAAGCTTACACCTAAAAAAACAGTTTTTTTGGAAGTTACAACTGTCTTGCATTGAAGATTGAAATTAAAATTTGACGAAATTTTTGGTTTCATAAAATATTCAACTGAAACGGTCTTTTTTGTATTTATTATTAGTCTGTTTTTGAAGCACCATTGACTGAACTCATTAACCGAATCATTAATTTTTTCTTGAAGACGATCTTGCGATGAGTCAGCTAAAATGATATTTGTGTCGTCTGCATACAAAAGTAATTTTCCGTAGGATAAGTGTGCAGGCAAATCATTTATGAAAATCGGGAAAATAAGTGGTCCAAGGACGCTGCCTTGAGGTGTGCCCCAATCTAAATTGAATTCATCAGATTTTTTATCAGCGACAGTAACATAAAATTTTCTATTCTCTAAAAAGCTAACTAGCCACTGATTCAAACATCCGCGAATGTCAACATGATGAAGTTTATCGGCCACAAATGACGAACTTACACAATCAAAGGCCTGAGACAAGTCAAATTGGATACTCACTATGTAATTACCTAAATCAAGTTTATCACAAACATACTGAACATACTCGATAATGCTTGTTTCAGTTGAGTAGCCTGCCCTGAAACCATGTTGAGCATATGTGATAATAGCAAATTTAAGAAAGTAATTTTCAATTTTCATTGCAACCACTTTTTCAATGATTTTCGAGAAAATACTTAATAGCGCGATTGGGCTATAGTTTTCAACATCACAATTTTCACCTTTTTTAAATATCATAATTAACGATGCCAGTTTAAGAGATGTTGGAAATTTACCAGCAGCAACCAATTCATTAATGATGTCTGCTAATACTGGGGCAAAGATATCCATGTTCTGTTTTACTAAATAGATTGGAATTTCATCAGGCCCTGTAGATTTCTTGTCTGGCATATTACTTATCACCAATATAACATCATCAGTAGTGACATGGGTGAAAAACATTGATTGTTTGGCTGTTTCACCAGTAGTGCAGGAATCCCACAAAACGGTAAAATTTTTGGCCATTTTCTTGCCAATTACAGTGGATACATATTTTCCAAAAAAGTTGGCGATATCAGTAGGGTTGGTTATAATTACGTTATCGCAGACTAATTCTGTAATAACTGCATTCTTTTGTTTACCTTTTATTGAATTGACAATATTCCAAGTAGTTTTCTGTTTGTTTGAAGATTTGCTGATTATCGAGTGATAGTAACTAATCCTTTCATCACGAATAGTCTTATCAACCTCTTTTCTTAAAGATTTAAATTTTGTTTCCAAATTAGTGTCTTGAATCTCTTTACGCAGCCATGCTAGGTTATTAAATTGATCTATTTTTTCTTGAAGTGACTTAGAGAATTTAATTTTCTTATGAGGAGAGCTGTATCGCTCATTATGAACAATTTTACGTTTAAAGGCTATGTCGAAAGACCCTCGTAACCCTGCGGCAGGGCGAATCTGGTTTGACCATTAATATTTAAGACTTTCGGATCTTTTTGATAAATTTAATGAAATGAAGACGTCTTGCAAATAGGTAACAGATACAAACGGGTAAAAAATTACTGGATTTGGTGCAAAATCACCATACCTGGCAACCTTGATCAATTTGTAAGCGCATCGATTATGGCGTCGAAATAAGAGGGTTGTGTAAGTCTGGGTACCTATAGGTTCAGCTTGACGCAAATATAAATGAAATAGTAATTCTGCGTTTTTCGGCTTGGTAGCACTGCATGTCCGTTAGTGCATTATTGAAAACTGAGCCTCATGTGTTCTGTGATTAAGGTAGTAAAGTGAAATAGAAGTATGAGAAAAACCTTTTCGCGTGCGCCTTTAACGCTGAGAGCAAATTTGATAAAAATATGTTTTGACGGACAAAATCAGAGAAAAGCGGTTTCATTTGATTTAAAGGAGATGGTACGTGCTTAGTCGCAGAAAGAGTATTTTCAGAGGGCTGTGCACATCTCCCTTCTGGATAATGTAATCACTGATTTTCAAGAGCGACTATCCTCAGAGCCACTTAATAAAAACCGTTAAGCAACTCGTAATCGAGAACCAACCGCTCGTGGACAATATGCCAACTTCAATAATTATTGAGAATGAATATTCTGCTGTGGATGGCAAAATGGCAGCTACTGCAGAATATTCCGCGGTCGATTCCTACCCTTATTGAAAATTACGATGTTGACATGTATCCCAACATCAACAAGTTTTTATGTATCTCTACTATATCACCAGTTAGTGTACCAACAGTAGAGACGTCCTTTTCTACGCTCAAGATGTGGTTGCCAGCCTCTATGGCAGAAGATCCTTAGAGGACTGGCACATTTATATGTCTATAAAGTTGTACATGTCCATGCGGATAAAGTCATAAATCGATTTGCAAAAATACCAAAAAAAGAAGAATTAAATTTTGTTGTCTAACAATAAAAACTTTTACCACACGGATAGGGGGTCAGTAGTATACCGCTTTTTTCCTGTCCTATTATTTTATTTTTATTCTAGCTAACAAAACAAAATACCTCAGATGCTGTACGTACACATTGTACAATCATACGCACTTTGAATCCAACTCAACATGTAGTGTTTTGCCGAATTACATCAAATAACGGCAAGTTTCAGCTACTCACTAATTTAAAGGTAACAATACTATTATAATTCATCTTTTTTTTTATTGGCACTAGGACGTATGTCCCATTAGCCAGATCCGAATATTTAGGACAATTCACATGACCATCACCATACAACCATGGCTTCATATTGTTATTTCCGAAGGCGAGATTCTAACTCGCAGCTCGTCTAGCCGACGTATCAGTAGCATAACATTCTGACACACCCGACCCCCAGGTCCCAAATTCATCTTTTTCTCGATAAAACGTAATGAGTATAGTTCCAAAATAATAAGAACATTAATTTTTGTCATCTATTGGTGTAACTTCTCGCTATTTTCCTGGAAAGAGCATATCCTCCCGGATAGCACCCATCCATATACGGTATGTTACACGGCTCTTGTATCATGAGGAGTGTAAGTGACAGAGCCAGCTTAGTGCTACCTGGTGAGGATACCTTAATAAGGATACCTTAATAAATGGTGTTGCTCGTCTGAGTTGTGTATTTTTGAGAAACGGGGATAGGGAGTCAAGTTATAGCTTGCATTTTTCCATAAGGTAAGCAATAAGCATCATCAAGGCAGGGTTGCCATTTATACGATTTATGATGCTCGGAGGCAATAGACTATATGACATTTGAAGGATCGCCTCATATGCACTAGTGAAACCTCAATATATCTACAATATAAAACAATCAATTTCATTATTAAAAGACAAAATGTCGCAAAGGATTAAATCACCTTTTTCCACTCGCTGGCGCCTTCACTGTTTAAAAAGAGAAGAGCTCGTCGAGGCGGCGGCGGCGCGGTGGCGTTAACGTCAACCCACCCACGGTATCGGTCGTCGGTTGAACAACTTGGCAACGCCGCGCGCCATAACCGATATTGTGGCCGCACGGAATGGAGGAGAGAATGAGCCTCACTCGGGTCAAACTTCCCCTTATCCCCACTTCTACCAGCTACGTGCCGTTGTTTCTCCCACAGGCAGACACAGACAGTCGAATGTCGTGCATCGTGACGCGAATGTGTGAAATCGAGTACGAACGCCGCGTAGAGAAGTGTGTAACATTTTTAATTTTTATGCATCAGTATTCATGGACTGGGCCTTGATAACTGGATTTCATCTGGTGTTATCGAATAGCAGTCGAATCTACAGTATTATGCTTGGAGTTGTGTCGTAAATTATCCTTTATGTTTACCCTCAAATGCTGGGATTCACTTCCTACAGGTAAATATTGCTGTATGACGTGAAGAATTTAGATTTGGTGAAGCGCGCCAGAAATAGTGCGGGGATGATTGCGAGTGTCATTTCACAGCGCGGGTTTTTCGAACGATGGGCTGTACAGTTCAGTTACCGGATTACCGCCACAATGCGAACTGGATATATAGAAGGATACCTTTGTCTGGTTGCAAGTCAGACAGCTATTTAATAGTAACTGTTTATCTGTGAAATAATTTCTTTCGTTACTGTTATACATTCCGTAAAATGTTATACATTCTGGCCCTAATATTTGTTTATATGGGTGAATATGCGGTATCTGGGTTTTGTGTCAACTAAGAAAAATAGCTTATTTTGTTTTCATATTCATTTTGTCACAAGACTATATTTATGTGATACTTATTTGACACGATACTTTGGTTCTGCAAACTATTATTTCTTGCTCTGCTTATGCATTGACTGTGGTCAAATCGCGAAATTGTCATACACGAAAATATGCAATTTGAATTTCGCCTTTTCAGGAATTACTAAAAACTTTTATGAGTTTATACAAATGTTTAGTGCCTGTTTTCACGGTAATATGTTGAAATATGTGTATGTAGCAATACAAATAGTATTCCTATGTATACTGTTATACCAGTTACATATCAGAGATTTGTTGATATTTGTAGTGAAAGTCGGTAATGGAGCACACCAGTATATGGCCAATTTTGTTAACTTTCAAGCATGTTATTGTGTCTAAAGCTTAACCGTTACCTTACCTTAATGATATGTACCAAATAAAGCATCTTACACTAACCCCATTGTGTGAAAAAGTAACAAAACAATTATATACAAAAGCAAGAAAAAGATACAAACAATAAGATCAACAATATATAAGAAAAAAAAACAATCTATATGGAAGACTGTCAAGATAAAAAAAAAACACTAAAATTTGAATATTATCTTAATAATAATAACTCAAATTGATAAAAAAACAATTTCGGAAGATGTCATTAGCTCTCTTTTAATCAGCTTTATAAAATGTGGGGCGAATTTTCCAATGGTGGACAGTTATTTAGACAAAAGTGGAATACAAAGTGTAATTATGAATTTTGTGTTCAAGATAACACAACTACCTAATGCTTTAGGAGGTGATCATATATGTTAACTTTTCGCCAACAACAAATATATTGCTTATAGATATTCTTATAATTTTATACAAAAATATCAAAAATGTGCTATTTTGCCAGGTGCTACTAGACTGCATTTGGTGATAGTAGAATATAAATTTTAAATCAGCTGTCATTAGGACTGTGAGGAAATGAAATTAAACACAGTCATACTGAGTCCTTTTAATACAGATATTTTTATCACAAATACATACAAAGTAGGTAAAAATGAACAAGAAACTATTTTTTCCTTTAATCCGGTCCTGCCCGGTCGACTTTGTACTACCATACTGTTTAATTACTTAATTCAATAATATTCCGAATTTTTTTTTTTTTTTTGGTATCCATTCCTGAATGAAGTGGAAATGTGAAATTTTATTTCACAGTCTCGGGAAAATGGACACAATGTCACTGGCCATAATCCACATTATTTGTTCTTTCCTTGTCCATCCATTGACTGGGTCTTCAGTCGTATTTTTTGTTTAATTCCAAGAGAAAAGCTTGATAGTATCTTTGTTTAAAGAGAAAAAGATTGATAACGACACGACTAGTAAGTATGATGAACCAGTCAGCGGCCACTCCAATTTGATCTCAGAATGTTAAAATAACATGTTAAGATTAATTTATTTCGTAAATTTTGAATGTCTTCTACATATGTAACAAGAACAGTATTTATATATTGTCAGCTGACAATAATTCTACTTACCTACTACTACTCGTTGCTTCTCAAGGCGGTCCGGAGGTCACTGTAATGTCAGTGTTTGTCGTCAGTCTGTCAGGTCTGGTGTCCCAGAAACCAGACAAGTTGTAGGGGACCTACTTACCTTTAAAGTTTATGTCACTCACTAAACAAATGACAAACATTGAGGAATCCAATGCATGCTGTTTTTAACGCGCTATTACTGTTGTCAATATGACAACTGTGGATGTGAAATTTTTGTAAACTGTTACAAATTAGTTGATAAATCTGGTACCAATTACCAGTAAGTGAAGGGTTTCAAATATTTAAGGTTTTACCAATAATATAACATTTGTCCGACTACTGGTAGTGTCCAGGTTACTGGCACATTCACCGTACTGTATTTTTATTCCAGAAATTCCGATCCGTGGAGTTGTAGAATCTAATCGCGTGAAGGTTGAACTCTTCAAAAAGGCGTAATAGTGAATTGGCATCGTGAAATTGTAATTATGTCTGATCACTCTCTGATTAATATCACCTCTTGGTAGGTACAAGTACCCCCAGAGATATGTTGGTTTTCAGGTACAACACTTTATCGACGAACATCTTCAAATCATAAAAAAATTGTGATAATATTCTCAACCAAAGTAATTTTTTAATCTACCAATAGACATTACAAAATTTACGGAGGTCAAACACGAATATGCAGCAGTTGTTTTGAAGTTTCTGCGTTCTATATCGATTCTACAAAATCTTGTATAATTCACCTATATACCAATGTTTCTTTTAAACTTGCTTTTAATTGATTAGTTTTATCTGATTCACAAGATCAGTATTTTAAAACTCATTGTTTGATTATAAAGTGCATTCAAGGATAGATTGAAAATTACCTGTCAAACATGGCTAACAACCTTTGAAATGAAATGTTCCATTAAATGTCAGACGATGCTCAAAATAATTCGTTAATTTTATTCTCTTGTATGCTACAATTTCTATATCACTGCTACTTTTACAGAAGTAATAATGTTACGATGATATATCTGTGTTATGTCCTGCATTGTATACAATGGGGGAGGGGGTCATTTGGAAAGCTAGAAGCAGATGACCTTAGAAATGTCGAAAAACGAAGTTTGAACGTTTTTTGTTTGTTTTTCGACGATCACTCCGCCGCCACTGTACCGATTTTCAAAAACTGTAGAGCTTTTTCGTCATTTTCTTACTAGTAACCTATGGTCAAAATTTCATAAAAATCCTGGTAGTACTTTCAGAGTTATCATTTATTTAATCGTTTTCGTTAGTTATGAAATGCAAGTCAATATATTTCTCAACTAGTCTTGCATTGCAACAGGACATTATAATTATGAACTGTAAGCACTTGATAATTTATAATTTACTAAAATACATATGCTTAGGCCAGCCATAACTCACCTGCGAAACGTAGAAAATATTAGCAATATGAAAAAGTGTTGTTATAGCATCCTATGCTTTATAATATGTATACCAATTTAATTCATTCTCCACAAAAGTTAGTTACGGAACGTACATTATTATGGATAGGTAGGTATTCAAATCAAAATACTTCCCATATATACCACTACTTCACCACAATCACAGCAAACAAGTAAACCTAAAACCATCAAACACATGATATCTCGTGTGAGACGAACCGCGTAACGAACCATGCTTCCATCCTTGCAACGTTCTTTGACGCGGGTCAAATTTACCGACAAGAGCCCTGCCATGTGGCGAACGTTCGACACATGTAAACCGTCAGCGCTCTCCCACACGATGTGGTGAACGGCCATGTGTCCAACGTTGTAAGGCATTCGCCACATCGTGTGGTACCGGTTTTAGGCTGACGATAGTATTCGTCATATCAAGGTTATGAGCAGATAACATGTCAATTGCTGATCAGCCGTTTACGTCAATAGACGTCAAAGCGTGAACAATAGGTTACCTTCTTACCTTTTTCCCGTCTACGTAAGACGTAAGACAGTTTTGAACTCCAAACTATACAGGCGCCGCCTAGAAGGAGCAAAATTGGGCATCGCACCATTGTTTAAAGTTCGTTGACATTTGACATATGCGACACTTTGATGTTTATCTTTTCAATCTACCATTAAAAGCAGTTTACAAGGTGTTTTAATCTCTCAAATTAGAAATTGAAGTTTTTGTTTCTTTATCAATTTTCTGGTCTCACAACCATATTAGTCATACGCACGCAGACAAAGGTGGAATGTTAAGTCCGTCTGTCACGTTTCAAAATTGTGTGCTAAATTTAGTACGCTAAATTTCGTACAAAATTAAGTGTCAGGCAGCATTAAGTACGTAATTTTGTATGAACGAATTTAGTGCTAAATTTTTGAGAACCTGTTCTAAATATCATACTAAAAGTACGCAGACGTCTACTGCGTATTTGGAGCAGTACAATGGCTGATAGAAGCACTACGTGACAAAGAATTACATGTTTTGTGTTAACTCCTTGATGTTTAGTATGATTAGACGAGATGATACTTAATTGGTTGACAAAAACACGCCTAACCTCAAACAATTTCATTTTAGTTGATGTTATAAGTTGTATTCCTCAGTTTCGCGAAACTCCCTAGCTTATGCATTTTCTACAATTTTCTATTCGTTTAAAGTAATAAAGGAATAAAGTAGACAGCCCGCAAAGTACATTTTGGCTAGAATGACGTTGACGTGATAAGTGGCAGTTAGAAGTTGACAGTGATGGATTTTTTCTACCAACTGCGCATGATTTCGTACGAAATTTAGTACAAAAATTACTCTACTTGTCAGACAGGCTTGTAATTTGTAAACAAATTGGGAACTAAATTCAGAAAAGAATTTTTTCACGATATTTGGTAGCAAATTATTAACAAAATTTCGTATCGTCACACACGGCTTTTATACTGAAAATATACATATGCACGCCACTTGTTTTGTACGTTTACTCAGGTGCAGATCCACGATTTCTCTGGGAGGGGCACACCAGGAGAGGGGGGAAATAGTTTTAATCTTGTAATCAACGTGTCTTGTTAAACAAAACATGAACTATTTCGCAGTGTTTGAAAACTGGAAGATTATCCGCAAAATTTTATGTTGACCCCCAATTCTGTATCCAAAACTGTTCAGAAATCTGGATGTTTAGTTCCATTTCTGCCCGCTGCTTCTGTTTA